AAAAAAAAAAAAAAAAAAAAAAAAAAAAAAAAAAAAAAAAAGCCAGGCTTTAAATTGTCATGAACTGTTCCTTTCCCCTTTCAGTTCCCCAGACACGTGGACATAGAGTGTTATTTAAATATTCCTCCAATTTCCCCTCTTCCTTGGGACTTTTTGTTTATTAGTCTATCTTAACTTTCAGTTTAATGTAGTCATCTGCTTTCAACAATTCCACTTGCAGCTGATAGCATATGCAACGTAGGCTCAGGCAACAAGAAAAAATTAACTCTGCACATACAATTTTCCTTCTTGTTTGTCCCAACAGTACTCCTCCAAGGCTTGAATCTTATTTACCCTCTACTTCTTAGACTATACATGAATAGTTGAGTATAGTAAGCACCTCTTCCTCACGTTTTTCTTCATGCACCATTCACATAGCAAAGGATGTGAATTATTCAGAAGGCACTATTTCCATTTACACCAGGATGAACAAACTGTCAACTAACTCAAAGCCAGACAGCAAGTAAATGGTAGAGTGAAAAGAGCGACCAGGATTTAATGACCCTTCTTCTAGGAAGTTCTATTGTACTCAGTCCAAGGGATGTTCACAACAGTAAAATAAGCCGAACTGATATTTCCTACGTCTAATGAGCAACTGGGAAATGAAAAAAAAAAAAAAAAAAAGGCAAATAGTGCATAAGGTTATGCTTACCAATTTGTACAGAGGCAACTAAAATAAAAATACCAGTTTACCACTTTTCATTGTAACAACATAATTGTATTAAATTATTTTCAAATCATACAACAGAAGAACAGTACTTTTTCTTTTGCTGAGTGGTCTTTGAATTGCCGCATGCAAATAAAACATTTAGGAAATCAGTGGATTTAACTATTCTGAGCCAAATAATGTCCCCTGTGTTTTCAGAGCTATGGTTGCAACTATTTCTAGTGTATGTACACACATAACAGAAATTTTCTAATTTAAAAGAGATACTGAATCATATGCCCTCCTAACAGAACATCTGATTACCCAGGTGGCATGTTCATTACCAATCCATGCTGTTTTGCTGGTACAGTAATAATTTACAACTCAGCAAAAGTCAAGAATTATTTTACCAATTTATCTTCTGCAGAGTTTAAGTAAAATGACCAGCAGAAAAGACAAGTTAATACAAAATAATAACCAAACTACAGAAAAGTAAAAGAGGTCATGTAGTTTTTAGGATCACTTACACAGTTCTCTGGTTTTAAAAATATTTTCCAGGGATGCCTGGGCGGCTCAGTTGGTTAAGCATCTGCCTTCAGCTGGAGTCATTATCCCAGGGTCCTGGGATAGAGTCCCACATCAGGTTTCTTGCTCAGTAGGGACCCTGTTTCTCCCCCTGCCTGCTGCTTCCCCTGCTTGTGAGCTCTCTCTCTGACAAATAAATAAATACAATTTTTTAAAAAATTAAAAAAATAAAAACATACATTATCTTTCTAATTCCCATTACGTAAATGAGCCAACAGGCTCAGCCTATGTCTGACACTGATGCTTCATCAACTTAACTCTTTAGGTCCAACCATACTATAGTTGGGTAGACTTTAGCCTTCTGAAATCTCAATTTCTTTACCTCAAAAACAGGATTAGAACTGAAACCCTATAGCAACAAAATTCAGATTCCAGGTATAGTACCATGCTTGAAACCAGATATTCTAATGTAAATTTTGCATGATCCCAGGGATTTTAATTCTCAAAGGTACTGTAATATTCAAACATCATTAACTCTATCTCAGAATAATTTATATGCCCTCTTATAAACAATGATTCCATATCAAGAAAAACTTGCTTATGCTTGAATATACAATCATGTTCCTGAAAACTTGGGGAAAATTATTTTCTTAAAAAACTAAAAAATCTTTTTTTAATAAACCAAAGGAAGTTTTAGTAGTACAACCATCCCTTAATCTGTTCAGATTATGTTTAGATTTTCTTACGATTTCAATGAAGCACACATCACAAGTTCATCTGAACCACGATAAACTACAATCAACTTTTAAGACTTCAGTTTTCAATCAAAGGGTTTAATTTAATGTTGGCTAGCTATTATCCATGTAATACATTAATAATACATTTTTTTTTCTTTACAGGGCTAATTGACTTAATTTCTTTTTAACCACACAACATGAAACTAGTAAGACTGACATTAACAGTGGCATTATAATTTTCTTCATTGCCCACACCTATAATGTGCTTAAGTTTTAAGTTTTACCAGGTACAAAACTATCAAACTCCACTTTAAAAAAAAAAAAAAATCAATGCTGTGTTTTTAATTAAAAAGGCATTTGTTTAAACATTTAAAAAATGTCTACTCTATAGAATATATGTTGATCATAAAAAAGTTCAACTCTTGGCTCTATAAAATATTCAGAAGCTGTTTCATAAAAAAATTAATGGTTATTTTGTATTTGTAGTTTTAGTTATTTTAATATTAAGTGCAGTATTTTAAACACTAAGTTACTTAAAAATTAGGGATAAACTGGCCTCTCAGTTCCAAATGTTAATTACCATAAGTCACCTAATATTATCAGTATTTCACGTTATGTAAAAAATATTTTAAAATGGCCTTTCTACTTATGCACTGAAACACAGAATAAAATTAACAGCATATTTTGATACAATTGGCTGTTAAATTTCTAAGATCAATTTTTTTCTCATAATCTTCTAGGTAATGTACAAGCAATCTTATGCAGAAATGGAAGAGGCTTTTGCATAACCAAAGAACACACTACGCGAAACATAACCGAAAGAAGAAGACTACTTCAGAATGGAGCAATGATCAGTTCAAATGAACCATATGGGCTCCTAGAAGGGCAAATAAAAACCACACGAGGACTTGGATTTCATGGAAATCTCAAACTGAAAAAATCTATTATACCAGCACCTCAAACTATCTCTGTCCCTATTGATGACTTATGCCAATTCCTTATCTTAGCTACTAATGGACTCTGGGAAGTTTTGGATACAAAGGAAGTCACTGCACTGGCAATGACAATATTTCAAGTATATAAAGAAGCCTATTATTCTAACACAAAAAATCAATCTTTACCATCCAAAGAGCCTTTCCTAATCTATGAACCAAGCAATTCTGTATCAGAAAATAATATCCATATATTGTTTCAGTATAAACCTGAATCTACAGAATGTGTATCAACTATAAATTCAAAGGAAGATTTGTTTGATTCAACATGTTCTAACCCTAAAAATGAACAAACATTTCCACCAGAAATGAGTAATCATGATCTTTACGGTGAGAAAGAAATCAATGGACCAACCAGTGTAGATGATGTGTCCAAAAATTCAAGTGAAAAAGAATCACGCACTCAACGTTTCTATGAAGGTGCAGCCAAGTATATTAGCCATGAACTTGTAAGTGCTGCTTTAGTGGCTGGCTCCAGAGACAACATTACAGTCATGGTAATACTTCTCAAGGGAACTGAGTATCAGTTTCTGACTGACAAAAGATAAAGTTCCGATTATCAAGGGTATAAAAATGTAAAGACAATTCTTCAAAGAACCAGATATTAGGATAATACTTCAATACCACATAAATAATTTTTAAGAATGTATTAAAGAAACTATAAAAGCATATTTTAGGTTACATAATACCATTTATATATATATATATATATATATATTCACTGTTCCATGCCAAAAAAGAGAAAAACAAGTACTTGCTTTTTTATACCACTTTATTCCAACCTGAGCACCTCAATATAAAACTAAACACTGGTGAACTGTTTTCCTTACTAATTCTGAATTACTGTAAATGTACAAGTTCTGCTAGCAGTTCAACACTTAAATAGATTAAATCATCTCTGACACATGGTAGATTTCATATAATGAAAATACCTAAAACAATTAGTGCAATATACTGAACTGATCAAAATAAAATGAACTTTGGAAAACAAGCCTGCAAGATTGTTACTAACATACTGCAATACTTATGTTACAAATTACTGGTACATTGTTTATTATGGTTCTAAGCCATGTAGGAACAACAGAAGCCCCTTCCTTTCAAAGGGAGAGAGAAGGAAAAATTAGCTGTTTTAGTAACTGTACATTTTGTATACTTTTAAGTAATTCTTAAATATTACAGGAAAGTAATAAACATATATGGAGACTACAGTGCAGTACCCTATTTACAGTACAGCTGAAGATCGAATTTAAAATAATCAAGTTTGAATGTACATAATTGTTAGTGCATTGACTATATTGTGTCCAAAGGGAACAAAAGCTCCCTCCCTTCCCCCAAACAATAAAACCTATGTAATGGCCAGCAGTGATTAAACAGAAATCACAGACACCTGGTTTGTTCCATTTCTGTTGAAGAGCTCACATGTTTGAAGGGAACACTATCCATTAAGATGCATTTATCAGTTTTCATATTCTTAAAACAAGATGAGGTTACATTTGACTTTTTTTTAACCCCACTAAAAATATCAAGACTGGCTATACTTTAGATACCACTAATATTCATGTTTTTCCCCCCGAAGATGTGGGACTGTTTTCTTGTGGTTAATTTGTTAAAATGTGGAATGTACATTTTAAATATGCATACTAAGAAATTACCAGTTGCCTGAATACGGTAGCTAAGCATAAATATTTTTAGAACCTCCTTCTAAAAAAAGACTGTTTTTGAAAAGCCCAAATTAATAAGTTCCAAATCTTTTACATAGAAGTGGCTGGTTAACTGTGGGTTTACATCATCCTTTGACTCTATCCCTGGTGACGAGAAATGATTCCCTAACCGTCCAAGGAAACAAGCGTACACACACACCTCTCATTCCCCCCTTCTACTTCTGAAACATTAGTCAGAGGGTCACATGCATGTTATTAAAAATTAAGTTCAAAACACTTAAAATAATTCTGTATTAGAAACTTGACTCTATCATAAGTCTCTTCTTTTTGGAAGTCATACTGGGCTGGTTAAATGCTCCAATTCCACTGTCATTAACATTTAGGAAGCAGAAGAAAATTCCAGCAAGTTCAAACTGGAGGTTTAGTTACTACAACACTGACTCCTGGTTGGCTGTGTGGGTTCAGTAAGGTCTACTCCTCTTCCTCTTGCAGAATTTGCTCCTGGATTCTGTGGTTCATTCTTTGGCAACTTTTTAGCTGAGAGATAAATTATTAAAATACACACAATTAGAATATTCATGTTAGAATTATTTTCATCAGCTTACTTATAATCTTCCCCCCCCCCCCTGCTGGGTTAACCCAAACTATCACAGAGCTATTTGCTCATTCTTCTGAAGTGTTTATTAAGTATCTACTAGATATTACCAAATATTATTCTTTGGTCAGTCCTTAGTGAGGTTAGTGGGTTGAAGGAAGGGTAAGATGAGGAACAGTTAGAGACATACAATTAAAACTTAAGTTGACTAGAGCTATATTTAATTCTTTATATTCAGTTAGTATACCAGAATAGCAGTACTTTATTTCATAATCATTAATACCTCTATTGTTTAAAGAAAATCTAAGTCAATAAAGATGATGGCCAGCCAATGTTTATAAAGAATCTTAGCTTATATCAATGGTCTCTGGACTGCTACATAAAAACTTTTTCACCAGTAGCTCTGCCTACTCTAAGCAGACTTGATTCTAAATGGTCTACCTCAAAAAACTTTCCCAATTCTGGGCTGCATGATCCTGGCTTGCCACATCTGGATAAAGTCCTCAACAAGCAGTTATAGTTTTAGCTCCGCTAAGCTCTATAGAGCTAATGGCTGTTCTCTGGAGCCTGGATCCCACTGATTTAAAAACACAGCTGTTAGATGTAGTCTGCTTGAATCCCAAAGATACTTCATGTGCTGCATTCACTGAATATTAACTATCTCTAGGAGTACCAATTATAAAGGTGACTAAAAATACTGGTCTTATCAACCCTGGGCAGAGACTACTATGGCTGAATTCTAGCTTTACCTTAGCCATGGCTCAGGTTACCCAAAAGTTGAACATGCTCTACTTCAGTATCTAAACGCTCAGTTGCATTTTGGATCTTTTATTTGTTTTAATATTTCACATCAACATTAATCGTCTTAAGAATCAATGGAAATTTTGGAAGAAAAGCCTTCACCTTGGGCTAATTCTCTAGAAACGGTGCTAGGGATGGTAGGGTAAATGGTAATAAAATGGCAAATTTCCAGTGAAATATATTTTCAAACAAAGGCTTGTAGGGACAAAGAGTAAACTAGCATTTATAAACTTTATTATAATTAATACTCTTAGATTTTGAACTGAGATTTCTCCCTTTACCATACTTTTCAATGAGCTTTCTGTAATTAGATCTGAAATTACAAGGTTGAAAGAAATAAAGTAGAATGAGAAACTTTTAAGCTTCTACTGGTAAACTTTTACTGTGAGAAGATAAAATAAAAAATAAGTTAGAGGTCTCAGAAGCAGTCTTCTGTCTCACATCTTATTATTACTTATTATTACTTATTGTATTACTATAGTAAAGGTGATAATATTTGTTTGGTATATGGAAACTGGAGTTTACCAATTTGCCCCTAAATTAGGATTTTAACAAGCTAAAAAATCCCAGATCAAGTTCATGAAGACGTACAACGAAAGCCATGTAAGCAAAATCTTACCACATTGAAAGCAGATGATAAATTTATTGTAGACTTTCTCCCACTAAATAACTACTCCCTATAGGAAGTCATCAAGAATGAAAATAACGAGTGTACTGTGTGATCTAAGTTACTAATCTGGTAAACGAAATAGAAAGGCCACAATTCAATTTAATGCTTGGTATTTCTTTAAAGGAAAGAAACACTGTAATTTCAGGAAAATAACGAAGTTCTAATACATAGGTTACTTTGTAACTGAAAAAATATATTAGCACATCTGAATAAAAAGTACAAATTAAATAAAGTCCAAAAGGAGGTGCCTGACTGGCTCAGTGTAACATGTGACTCTTGAACTTGGGGTCATGAGTTCAAGTCCCACACTGGGCACAGATTACTTAAAAATAAAAAAACAAGCAAGCAAGCCCATCTGGTGGTGTCTTAATACCATTAGAAAAGTTTAAAAGTTCAGCCTGATTTGATGGACCTATTATTTTCTTGATTTCTGTTACTAGCTTTTCAGATGTGATTTCTGGGTGTAATCTTATGTTCTATTTATAAAAAGAGCATAATGTCACACAATCCTTCACAATTATTTCCCTAATAAACTTCGAGCCTGAGCTTTTCAGTAAAATATTTTACTCTCCAACAGTTAAGTTTTTTTCCTATTGAGCCTAAATGGGCTACCATTAATTTATCTCACTTAGTGGAAGATATTCTGACAGTATTTGTAGCAATTCAGCCTCTGAACCAGCTGTTACTTGGTTAATTTGCATGACTTCAATAAAAGGAATATTTCTTTCTTGGGCATAAGTCTGTGGGCACCCCTGTTAATAAAAATGTTTTGGAATGAGAAGAGTGCTTGGTGCATGAATAGTGCATAGACAATAAAATGCAAGAGCCACCAATGTAGACAATTTCCCGATGCAGGACTTGATCAATCCCAGAACCCTGGGATCATGACCTAAGCCAAAGGCAGATACTTAACCAACTGAGCCATCCAGGTGTCCCAATCAAGAGTTTTTAAAAAGAAGACAGTTAAACCAAGTATGCCACAATGTAACTTGCTTACATCTACTGCTTGGAAAAAAACTTACCTATTGCCATGAATATTTCATTTACATTCATCGATGTTTTGGCTGACGTCTCCATGAATAATAAACTGTTGTCATCTGCATAGGACTGTGCTTCCTGTTTACAGAACAACAACAAAAAAAATGATATACATCCTTTGCACATACCTGACTTATTTTTGTTAAAGAATAAGAAGCTTCTTTATTACTACTCCAACTTGATTACCTATAATCAGCAACTATGTAACAAGCAACTGTTACTAATTAAAGGTAAGAGAGGTAAGGGAACTCCTGTATGTACCTTTGCAAATTTCTTTTGCCTTAACTTCTTGCATTATCCCATTCTGATTCTTCTGGTCTCACATTAAATTTGATTTCAAATGGTAAGTTCCAGAGGGTGGAAAATTAAAATTTTCTTCAATCTCCTGGGGGCGCCTGGGTGGCTCAGTAGGTTAAAGCCTCTGCCTTGGCTCAGGTCATGGTCCCAGGGTCCTGGGATCGAGTTCCGCATCGGGCTCTCTGCTTGGCAGGGAACCTGCTTCCCCCCCTCTCTCTGCCTGCCTTTTTGCCTACTTATGATCTCTGCCTGTCAAATAAATAAATAAATAAATCTTAAAAAAATTTTTTCTTCAATCTCTATGGCACATATTATTTATGCTTATCATTTGCAATGAAATCAAAGGGAATCCAAATATCTAATACTGGCCTCAATCACTAAATGGCTGGCTATACTTTAATTTTGAATATGTCACAAATCATTCCTTTAAAAATATTACTACTCCATATTTTTGTCATGCTTTACAATTTACACAAGTATTATTGCCTTGATCCTCAAGTTGTTGTGAAGAGCAACCCATTACCTTTCCCATTTAATGAAAAAGATGAGTTTCCTTTGAACTGTTATGTGAGAAGGCCACTTCTGACTATAACTTAACTGTTCTATCTCCCCCTCTATGATGTAACCATCTTAGAAAGAATAGGTATTATACCTCACATGATCGTAACCAGAATTAAATAAAATCACATGTGCAACATGCTCGGCTTACTACCTACTGGTGCCAAGAAATATTAGTTCCCTTTCTCAGCCCATGTACTCCATCAACAGCCATCATCAAAGACAATTTTCCCATCACTCATATTATATATATAAAATGACCACAACAGGGAGCCTGGGAGGCTCAGTGGGTTAAGCCTCTGCCTTCGGCTCAGGTCATGATATCTGGGTCCTGGGATCGAGCCCTACATCGGGCTCTCTGCTCAGCGTGGAGCCTGCTTCCCCCTCTCTCTCTCTCTCTGCCTGCCTCTCTGCCTATTTGTGATCTCTGTTTCTCTGTCAAATAAATAAATAAAATCTTTTAAAAAAATAAAATAAGATAAAATAAAATGACCACAACAAACTTTTCTGACAGAGAAGCTGAAGGGGAAGAGAAAAGAGAAAGTTTAAAAATGTCTAACTAGAGACATTTGTTTTTAATTGTACTTTATCTTGTAGCAGGGACCATTCTTAATTAGCTATATTAAATAACATATAAAATGGAATTTTTTTTAGCCTTTGTTATTGAAGGATCTTTTTTGTTGGTTTATTGAAGTTTTTTTTTTTTTTTTTTTTTTTTTTATTCATTTTGAGGTAGACAGTGAGAGCATGAGCAGGGGAGAAGGGCACAGGGGGAGAGGGAGAGTGAGAGAAAGAGACAGAGAGAAGAGAGAGGTTCCCTGCAGAGCAGGGAGCCCAACGTGGGCCTCAGTCCCAGGACCCTGAGATCATGACCAGATCCGAAGGCAGACGCTTAGGCAACTGAGCCACCCAGGCACCCTTTTGAAGGCCCTTTTAAGAACCATGTAAGTGAGGGGCGCCTCATGATCCCAGGGTCCTGGGACCGAGCCTCATGTCAGGTTTCCTCCTCAGTGGGAAGCCTGCCTCTCCCTCCCCCACTCTCCCTGTTTATGTTCCCTCTCTCACGGTCTCTGTCAAATAAAAAAAAAAAAAAAAAAAAAAAAACAACAACAACAAAAAAAACACAACAAAAAAAACCACGTAAGTGTAAGCTGTATGTATGTGTGTATGTTGGTATGTTTATGTGTGCTGAAATAAATACTGGCAGGTAAATAAAAAAGGTTAGGAAAGATACCAAGGTATGTGTGGGGGTGGAGGGATTAGGTAAGAGGTGATCACCTTTTGCTTTATATATTTCTGCATTATTTGTCAACAATTACTTCTTTTGTAATTGTTTAGATCAACAAAATTTTTTAATTTAAGAGACGTAGGGAGGGGGAGAGAGGGAGAGAGAGTCTTAAGCAGACTCTACACCCAGAGCAGAGCCTGATGTAGGGCTTGATCTCATGACCGTGAGATCATGACCTGATCCAAAATCACGAGTCAGATGCTTAACCGACCAAACCACCCAGGAACCCTGGTCAACAAAATCTTTGAACCAATTTATATATTACAATGTGTCAGGACATCTAAAAATTCAGATTTATCATGTGAAGCATTACATTACATATAGTAGATCTACATTTGCTTTAAAAATTGTTTTCTATTATTTGCATGGTTTTAAAATTATAAATGTAATTCATATGTGGACACAGAAGAAAAATTTACAATACACATGTGCTTTCAAACATACCTGGAAATCAACAGCTCTTTTATTTGCAAGGTCAGCCTTGTTTCCTGATAAAGCTATTACAATGTTAGGACTGGCTTGCCTCTGAAGTTCTTTAACCCAGTTTTTGGCTCTGGCAAAGGACTCCTGAGAAACAAAGAAACAGCTATTTGGCACATGCTCAAAAAATGGTTAGGGAGCTTTTGTAACACAAGGCTTTGAAGACTCTTCAATGTGACTCTTGGAAAGAAATTCTTAGGACTATTATATTATTTGTGACACTTTAATCTCTCTTTTCTTAAAAATCAGCTCTTCTAACTCCTAAAAGCTTTGGCAGAAATGTCATGACTGGCTATCAAAAAAAAAATGATTTTAAAAAATCTTGAATCAAAATTCTGAATACCAAAAATGTATTTTTAAACTATTCTCATTGTTGGATACATTTCTACTTACCTCGTTTGTGATATCATATACAACTATGGCTGCTTGTGCTCCTCTGTAGTACATTGGTGCTAGGCTATGGTATCGTTCTTGACCAGCTGTATCCCATATTTCAAACTTTACTGTTGTGTCATCAAGACACACAGTCTGGGTTAGAAAAGCAGCTGAAAGAAGAAAATGTCTGGAATAAGTTTATCATTCTTACCCTAATATTTTCATAATATAGAGAACACCTGGAAACATGATATATTGCATAGTACAGTTAATAGTGGCTTTAGATACTTGCAAGATCTGGGCCTCAAAGTTTGATACACATATATGCTTATGTAAGAGTTTCATAGTAAAATCCCAGATTCAAAGATTTTTCTACATTCTGAAAAGTTATTATAATAGTAAATAAGTTTAATAAACATTTCTCAAATTGTTTTACACATTGTAAAAAATTTTAATTAAAAACAATTTAAAAAAATATATATATAGATATTCTTGGAAAACTGCATGGAGGGGGGAAGACACACAGAGGAAGGATTGGCATACCTATATAACTATCATCTACACTGTCAACACAATGCCCCCTGCTCCATTCTCCTAGTAGTTACTGGCATACTCTGGGAATTTAGTCCCATGCCTGTAACACTAAATATTTTTTGTTATAATATTTTCCCCTCAAAACACTTTTTTATAATTGCTATAATCTCAATCTAGACTTAATGTGTTAAATACACTGTTATTATCTCCTAGCTGTTTCAATCCTTGTACAGATTTTTTTGCATTTGTGCTTTTTCATTAGTTCTTTTCTCAGATTTTAACAAACCCAAGATCAAAAGGCACAAGCTCTACCGACTCAGCCAGCCCGACACCCCAAGAAAGTATTACTTTATAGTGATATTTTTGCTTTTAGGGTTAAGAAGTTGTCCAATCTTGCAAATTATGGTATCACTTATTCTCTGAACTGCTTGTTGACAATAGTATGAAGTAAAATGTCCATTACGATCCTCTTAGTTTTAAAAATAAACATCAGGAAAAACAATGTAATGGATATTTACAAAAAATGAAAATCCATCAATTTAATCAATAGACCTGAACTTTAAAATACCAACTGTTAGACTAAGTTTCTAAGTGTTGCTAGCTGCACTAAAAGATACTTGGGAACAAGACCTACAACATGTAGCTATTTTTAACAGCACACTGACACCTTAGTTCTTTTCCTTCATTAACTTTGGTAGTTAACCCTCTGCTGCTCTATCATTCATCATGTTAGTATGCCCCTCCTTTTTACTTTTTTACTTTACTTTTACTTTTTACTTTAGTTCAAGAGTGTGATGTTCAACTCATTCTCCCAAACTGGCATGGAATTAAAGTTATAAATTTTGTTTTTCTGAAACTCTGTCCTATCATGCAAGAGAATTATGATCCATTTCTGTAAACTATAGTTTATCTAGTGATGTCAATATTTCATAAGCGATTCACTAGTTAATATCAAAACTGCTGAATAAGCCAAGTCTAATTAGATATATATATATATTTTTTTAAGATTTTATTTATTTGAGGGGCGCCTGGGTGGCTCAGTGGGTTAAGCCGCTGCCTTCAGCTCAGGTCATGATCTCAGGGTCCTGGGATCGAGTTCCGCATCAGGCTCTCTGCTCCGCAGGGAGCCTGCTTCCCTCTCTCTCTCTCTGCCTGCCTCTCTTCTACTTGTGATCTCTGTCTGTCAAATAAATAAATAAAATCTTAAAAAAAAAAAAAAAGGATTTTATTTATTTGAGAGACAGCCAGTGAAGAGAGAGAATGAAAGGGGAGAAGGCCAGAGGGAGAAGCAGACTCCCTGTGGAGCTGGGAGCACGATGCCGGACTTGATCCCGAGACTCTGGGATTCTGACCTGAGCTAAAGGCAGTTGCTTAACCAACTGAGCCACCCGGACACCCTAATTAGGTATCTTTTACATTAAATAATAACATTTATTTTCCACAGTATTTTTATCACCATGGTTGTTGGCTTTATATTAGCAAATATAACCTCAGTTTTGCAAACATCTTAATTGGAAATGTCTTTATTTTAAGCAGATTCTAATTAATAGCTCTGTGAATTCTCAGAAGTGGCTAGACATAATTAAAATGTATTTGAATTCATTGAACTTTTTAACATACAAAGTTAAGAAATATCCATTTTCTTAAATCCTGTATTTATGGTAAATAATTCCAAAAAGGGACTATGTCACTTTTTCAGTCATGAAAGGTTCTCCTGCAGAGTCAAAAAAAAATTCTTAAACCCTTTAAATTAAACCTCTAAAACAGTACTTCTTCCATAAAATGAAAAGAAGGAAAAAAATGGATCACATCATAAGCCATTTCTCAAGTACAGCTTGATGCACCTTAAAAAAAAAAAAAAAACCTGGATTACAATTTGCATTCAGACTTTGTTTTCTATGACCACAAAATACACTAGTAAAAACATTCATTTACACTTACATAAATCAACTTTAGGTTCAGAAACATAACTACTAGTTATACTGACTCAAAGGAAATATAATCTGATTCTCAAACACAAAAGATATCACAAAAGGTTACCAGTCTTTTTTATAAATGTATATACAAAAATGACAAGTAAAATACAGGCAAAGAAATTTCCACAAATACATTAAAAGAACAACAGCTATGACCAAGTAAGATTCAGAAACACAAAGCTATCACACCAAAAGGCTAAAAGTGAAAAATCATGCATTTAAATAAATTACAAAAAAGCATCTGAGGCAATATCCATTCCTAATATACATGTAGGAATCTTCCTTAAAGTTTACCAAGTATTCATTCTATCTGTAAGCCTGAAATTAGCATTTTGATAATAGTACAGCTCTTAAGCAGTCTAAATCTAGAAACAAGTAAGACTGTCCACTATCAGCATTATTTTTCATTATTTCAAATATCCATAGACAGATTTTTGAAAAGAGATATTACTTGTAAGAGGCAAGACTGACTAGAAAATGCAAAGGCATCAGCTAAAAAAGTGCAGATAATGAGTTCTTTAAATTGACCAGAATTGATTAAAGTCAACATCCTTAAAACACGCTGCAATAACCAGGTTTTCAGTGTTATGCTGGAAGAATGAATCCCAGTCATATTAACAAAGAACAAGAATAATCAATTCACTCAACTCTTAGAAAGCATTCTTTATCACACCCTATTTTATAGCTACCATCTCTGTGCAATGAATATTTTCACAGTTTTTGTAATCACTGATTTATATAATCTTTTTCTTCTAGACTGGGAGTTTCTTGAGAAATTATTGTTAGCTATTCTTCATATGCAACATCTAATAAAAATCCCTGGTCATAAAACTATTCAAAACGTTCACTAAATGAAGTTCACAAAAGATATGTGGCATTATTTGGGGGGTATCTTAGATAACATTTGAATAGACAGTTTCCAAATGGGAAAAAAAAATGACATTTCCAAAGGCCTCTACTCAAGTCATTATGTAACTAACACAATCTCAAACAAAATACCATCAAGATCTTTTTTAACTTGGTAATACCATAGTTTTGTTCATATGGTATGATAAACAGAGCATAAGGTTGGAGGAGGAGAAAAGGACCAGTATTTAGCGGCCAGGGGAATGGGTCTTAGGGTGCATCAAAAACACATTAAAACAATTAAAAGTGCTGTAGGGCCACAAGAACAGAAATATTGTCTGTTGTGGGATAATCCAGTATTATTACTGATGCTATATACTGCAAGACCATCATGATTCCTTAAAGATCTCAAGTTTTCAAATACTTCCCCCATAAAAGTCAGCGCAGTAGAGCTGACATCTTCAAATTCAATGCTTCTAAAATTATACTGCTAGTCATTTATAAGGTTATAAAAATAAATTCTGACACTCAAAATATAAACTACTACATCAGTACTGTTTTAACATTAACCACCACAAACTTACCTGAATCTGCACAACCACTTTAATTTATCCAAAACGTCTATTTTCTGGCTAAGAACCACCACTTTCTTAGACCTCTTCATTTTCTCTTCACTTCATCACCAGCACTAGCAGTTGGTTTTCTTTTCGGGCCCATATTTCACAAAGAAACAGCTTTTATCACTTTGAGAGTTACTGCGTGCACGACGCCAAGTAGAGAAAAACAAAGCTGCGTTGAGATGCGGGTGCTGGCCTGTCTAATAGGCCAGCTACATGATCAGCTACATCATCACTTCCTAATGGAAAGGCTGGCAGCAAGCAAGTAACATTTCAGTCTCAGCAAAACTACAAATTAGCAAATCATAGACCTTGTAGTCAGCTGGTAACAGCTGAAACTGTAAATGTTAAATCTGCAAATACCATAGGCCTGTAATGCGTAAGACCTTCATAAATACTAAGTAAGGAAGAGACACTGCAATATACTGGACCAGAGAAAAAAATATACAAAAGGTGAACAACTAAGAAAAAAAAGTTTAACCTAACAACTAAAATGAGTCTACAAGAAGTAAATAGAAGGGCTTAAAAGAGAAAAATCAAGGAACCAATACCACCCCAACTTCTTTTTGAATTTCGTAAGAATACCTTCTTAGAACTGACTATCCTATGAGACTATCTGTTTCATTACATAAAAAAATAGAGACTGTCTGCAAACATGTATCATTACTCCAAACACAGGAGTGAAGACATTTTAGGAAAATTTCTACAGTGGATACTAAGAGATTAAATTTTAATATATAGAGAGCTCATATAAATCTTAAGAAAAACTACAAAAGCATCAAGGATAAAAGTGTAAAGAAAATTTGCAACAGGAATAGAACATAAAAAGTCAACATCACTAGTAATACAGAAAATCATTCCTAAAGCAAAAAGTTGAAAAGAAAAAGGCTGTTTTTTATGGGGTGCCTGGGTGGCTCAGTGGGTTAAAGCCTCTGCTTTTGGCTCAGGTCATGGTCCCAGGATCCTGGGATGGAGCCCCACATCGGGCTTTCTGCTCAGCAGGGAGCCTGCTTCCCCTCCCACCCCTGCCTACCTCTCTGCCTACTTGTGTCTGTCAAATAAATAAAAATAAAATCTTAAAAAAAAAAAAAAAGGCAATTTTTTACCTCCTATCTTAGCAAAAAGGAAAAAAAAAAAGTGTGGCACAAACATATTGCTGGTGACACTGTGTAGTTTTGAAAACAATTTTGCCAACAC